CTAATATTCCTGCTTTATAGACTCGAGTTCACCGTTCGATTCAAGAGACCAATGAGAACGTCCACAAAAAATTCAATTCGTTAGTTGAAAGTCAGGTTAGATATGACTCTTTTAGTCATTATTGGCAGTGCTTGTAATATTGTACTCAAAGGATTTTTCTGCTACAGAGCGTTATTGTCAAACAAGCGGAAGATAAAGGTGAAGAGCATAATGAGCAACGATCACAAATAGACAATGGACCTGATGATATTGTTGTAAGTTTATTTTCTGCGTAGTTCTATTTTACTGCATATTTCACTAATAAAATGGACATCCGTTATATAGGTTACAGGTGAATCAGCAAAGAAAAAGAGTAAAACTGATGAATTTTTCGAAGATATGAGAAAGCGAAATATATATGTGCTATGTGAACCATTTAGAAAATTATCGCAAATGGATGCGGAGGACCGGTTCGAGATGATAGCTAAAAACACTGTTGAAATTGAACTCCCTGAAGATATCAAGGAATATCTTCACTGTTTGCTCAACGGACATATTAAAAATGCATTGTCGGAAGTAGAAAAACCACTTGACGGGGATGCACGGCCATTGATGTTATGAACGAGAGAAGTCTGTCGACATTTTCTATTTTACTATTACTATGGTGGTTTGCAAATCGGTAGCGACGAAAAAACATGGTCCAACCAAACGGTCTATCGAATTCTTGATTATTTTCGATGTTTTTTGGGAATTTGACATCAGGAATTGCCTTGTAAGCCTTTCTTTAATCTTGTACCTTTCTTTTATGATAAATTGACATTATTTTTGATTTGGTGGAGAAATCGTAAATGAGGCACACAAAGATAGAGTTTATAACGTAAATGCTGATCAAAAAACATCAAATTCAAGGAGAGGTGACAAGAAAGATGCTGTCTTATATCAGGACAATAACGCTACAATTATATATGAACAGTCCTTTGGACCCACAGAATTTAACGCAACACATCATATGGGTGATATAACGAAACTAGCACGTAAATTATCACTTCATACAATATGAAAAATCTTCTATAACAACAGCGAAAAAGTTCAAATCCGTCGGCATTCATGGTTATAGTAGGTGTTTTCCTTTTTTTTTGCATAAATGGGTCCCCATTTTGTGGTAAGACTTACATAACTTCTATGCTTTTGGAATATTTCATAGCAATTTACCTCACGGACCTTATTCGTATGAAAACGTATAGGGTATACGAAATATTCAAGTATAAAATCCCAACGTCATATACGGACCGATGGTTTCTAACTAAAATTGCAAGGATAGGCGTTTTTTTGGAGGTATTTCTTTACAAGGCATACAAATGCATTTCATTACTATTACTTATTTTACTTTTATAGACACACCTTACAGATCGACGGTTTTTGAAAGGGAAAATGGGCATGGAAGACGCAATCAACGATAAGGGTCCTAATTGTGTATGCAATTGGATTGCAATACCGGATAACACTCCAGAAGCGAAAAGAGCAAAATGAAATTAGAATTGATTTGTTATATTTTTCGAAAAAAGGTATTTTTATTACATTTTGTAAATATTCGTTTACTTCTTTCAGCGGCAAATCAATCATCAGATATCTATTTTTGTTGTATCAATAAAGAATTCGGGCTGAAAAGGATAATTTACCAAGTGTTGAATGTGTATCAGAAAATAAATGTACATGCGATCATGAACATAAAAATCCTTTTAGTACAGAATTTTTTCGCAGTAAATAAGCAGATAATTAATAAAGTCAGTTCTACTCATCCAATTTCAGGGGCATATCCCAACCTAATCTAATTGCGAGAGGGTCGTCAGTTGCCTTAGTAAAATCGAAGACTACAAAATTCCGATCTCGCAATGTTTGTCAGTAATCTTAGATGCTTTTTTTGGATTATCCGTATATTTTCGCACAATTCTATGAATTTCATCTCGGCTTCCTGCCCCTCCAAATAGTGCAAGATGGCTCAGATTTTCACGGATAATTTTAGGAGTTTGTGTATATTTTTGGCTTACATATATGGGTGAGATATTTGATGCCGACCACTAATGAAATAAGGAATAATTTGTTCTTGTACTTTCTTTGGTTTGGCACATAGATCCTCAAACACTACAACTGTGCTTCGCTCTGGTAAAAACTTAGCTATATCTGGAATTTTATCTGGCACTATCTTTTTAAATATTACATCTTCTCGATATGGTTTTGGAGCATTTGCAAAGATCTGGTACGCATTTTTTACTAATTCCCATTTCGGCTCAGAATGCTTTCCTATCAATACCAGATCGTTATTTTGATATACCATTTCCTTTCTTACTTTTAAACATTCGCTGTAATTTATTACCCAGCATAAGATTAATTACCATATTAGTTTTTCCACTATTTGAACCCCCACATACTAGTAATCTGAATGGGCTCTCTGGTGAATACTTATTGCCTTTTATTCGTTCTGAAGATTTGTTAGATGTCTCGTCGATGTTATATACAAATATGAGCATACCTTTATCTTTCATCTTGATCAAGCTAAGTCACTAACTATGAGTTATTCTTTATACGATAAATATCCTCTCTCTTGTAATTTGCTTTTCATGTATGGCAATAAATCAGCATTATATGGTATTAAAATAAGATCTATACCTTTCTGAGTACATATATCTCGTTTTTTTTTGATCACGCATTCTTTGCAAATTCAAATCAATTCTCCCCTGCTTATGGAACAATACATTCTGATGAAAATGTTGACATCCTTGGTACTCCCATGCTAGTTTTAATTCCTTGTTATAACCATCCAAACGTAAACCTTCCAAGAACTTTAGTGCACATGGCGGAAATTTCTTACCTAGTAGATCCTCAAATATGTATCTACAATTACGCTCGCGAGTATAGGGACAAATTGGACACCATTCGAATTTTTGCTTCTGGATCTTATAAGGTGCATACAATTGATGGAATCCTTTTTCACAAGACCAGAGGTATACATTCACTCTGTTTATCTGCCCAGTTTTCATAATACAAGTCCCACCACGTTTCCTGGCATATTCTTCGGCTTGGGCTAAGTTATTACTGCAAGCACGAATAAAGTGAACTAATTCAGTGTGTTTATTTTCTGATATTATACTCTGGGGCGGAAGCTGAAGTGTGTCAATATTCACGTGTAAAAGCTCTTCGCGTACGAATACCCGAGAAGGCATATACTCATCACTAACCAAATAATATAAGACTGGCTCATTTTTCAGTACTACTATTTTTATGATTGGGTGGATAGTAGGGCTGAATACCGGGTCTGTTGCGCGACGTGCTGTTTCCAGACCACCTTCCCGTTCTGCATTAGCAAGAAGATATCGAACCATAACTCCTTTCTTCAGCTTCTCCTCATCCTTTCCAATAGGCCGCTTTCGTGGTATTGATGGTTTAGATTCGACCTTTTCCAGCTTTATTGCTTTTATTGGTGCTAACCTTCACTTCGAGGACCCAGGAGCTCTAATGAGACGTGTTGGATAATTATTTAGATAATCTATTACTATGGGTAAATTCTTAACCCAGGCTCTCATTAATTTAGGATCTTGAGATATACTTTCAACTGCATATTGAATCTTATAAAGAATCTCTGCTAGGATTTTATTGAATCTCTCCACAATTGCTGTACCACGATGGGAATATGGACCAATAATTCTAATTGTTATATTATGCTCTTTCATTAGTAAACTCGTCTGTCCCGCCCATTCTTTGCCGCCGTCCACTTGCAGAAGAGTCGGGTATGTAAGAGGGTTATTGGGATCGTCATAAAATTTTCTGAATGCTTTAGCAACTTCCGAACTTTTCTTTGACGTGAGAGGAACACTTGCCTTGAACCTGCTAGCCACGTCTATTATATTAAGTACGGCTATCCATTTTTTACCTTTGTAATAACCATGTGTGAGAAACAGTATATCAGCCATATGAACACAGTTGGGATGCAAAATTCGCCCATAGCTGGCTCTAGTGATATGCTTCGGTGGTGATTTATAAATCTGGTACTGTTGTTGTCGCTCCAACTACTCATGAATTTTTTTATATGGGAAATGGTACCCTTCATCTCTGGTAGCATTATACAACTTTCGAGCATTGGAATGGTATCCAGTAGGTAGATAAAAAAGCAATCGGCAAACTAAAGCTAATTCCTCATTAGGATCGATTCTAATAATAGGTTTACTCAGTTTACTCATTTTCGATAGATTTCACTATGGCGATAAATTTTGTTTCAGCAAAGTCGAGAGATAAGTTAGTATATTATTCCGTAAAAAATAGCTATGTCATTTCATCGATTACGTCCAAATCGGGTTACTACCGAACGTGAATCTGAGTTGGAGCGAGTTAATCAAGAACTTCAGGATATACCACAATCAGAGGTAGCCATCAACAAATCCAATGAAAATATATATATGAGCTGGAGCGTAAGTATACCAGGTGTGAGGATGAAATTCAATCTCTCAATGAAGAGCTGGAGCGGATTGAGTGCACTTCGGAACAAGAAAAATCAGAGTTGAGAGTAGAGATCTCCAGCCTTCGTATACAACTTTATCAAGCCAAGAAGGAAATACGAAATAAGGTGTCACATAACATCAATTTAGAACAACAGTTACAGGAATCGGAAAAGTGGGTCAAAATCTGAGATACAGAATCAAAGTAATCACATCACAAAAAAATTCACCTGATCGAGGAAATTCTCAGGATCAGAATATAACCTCAGAAGATATGGCACATATAGATCCCTTTACAAATATCACTAGGGGATTAAATCGACTCGAAAATCATTTCAGAGGACATGGTATACCATTAAACAATCCAGCTAATATTGTTCAAGGTATGTATGGTACTTTAAATACTATTCGGGCTAATTATCAAAGAAAAGACCAGGATTTGGATGATATTATGAATCAACGTGATGATCGAGATATCCAAATAGTCCGGTTACAACAGGATATTAATGGCTATAGGCAACGGAATATCGCTTTGCAAAATCAAGTTAATCAGCTTGTCCAAAATGATTTTCAGGACCAAGTCAATCAGATTACCCAAGAACGAGATAACTTACAGAACCAAGTTAATCAAACTACTCAAGAACGAAATAATTTCTGAAATCAAGTTAACCGACTCACTCAAGAATATAACAATTCCCAGAACGATCTTACTTTGATGACTATAGCTTATAATAATGAATTGGGGGAGCGTCGACGCTGGTGGGAAATTACCCAAAATTAGAAAATGGGATACAAAAGCGTATCGACACTTTATTACTTGAAAAACTTGCACTTAATTTTAAACTTCAGAGGTGTCAGAGGCATGGTAGAGAATTACAACGAAAATATGACATGCGAGGACGTTTATGGCATAATGCAAGCTTGGTATGGGATGAACGGTTCAAACTCAAACGTGGTTTCGAAATTATTTATAAGTTATCTATTCATCGGTTAAAGCAGGAGTTACAACAATGTAATATTGATAAGGTTTTCCTACAATTTTGGTATGATCGTATTGTTCCAAGGTATGAAAAATGGAAAAATAAAACCCACGATGCTCGACAATTAATCTTAAAATTACGCGAACAAATTTTACTGCTTCAGAATAATTTACCTATAAATATACAAGCAAATATGGCATTACGACCACTATCATTACCAAATTTCTCTGGTGAATACGATGAGGATATTGATATTTTTAATAGTCGATTCTCATCATATTTGGCTGATGTTGCTATAGATCCAGTTGCTAGTCGAGATCAAGCATTTGGTATTCTTCGTGGGTGCTTATATGGGCGAGCATTAGAATGGTTTGATCGAAAAATTCTTGGTAAGCATTGAGAACTTCATAATATTTTTGCAAATCATGGTCAAGTCGGTATGAGTAATCTCCGGGGTCTCACTATGGCACAAATGAATACTAGTAATAGCTTTAGGAATCCTTCAATAGCGCATGACTACGCAAATATTGCTGGTAATAATGCTGTAACTGTGGCTAATTCAATGATTCCAGCTGAAGCTTTTACCGAAGATTGGCGCTTGGCTGGAGGGCAAACATCAGATAGACCCGTTAATGCAATAAATGCGGGCAACAATAACCCAATAGTATTTGGAGATATTGGCTTAGAACTCAATACCCTACAGTAATTAGTGAGAAACGCAATTTAGTTTATGGATCATTAACTCAGGAGAGTGAACCTATAGGAGAATTTTACTCAAAACTCTTAAAATACGGGAAAATGCTCAATCTTGATGAGCAACAGATTAAGGGCCAAATTTTACGAGGCTTATCTCCAGACCTGGAGGATGATGCAGAGCGCATAGGTACCGAACAACCATTAGCTGATCTTTTTGAAATTTTGGAACGGATTGAAATGCGGAGAGCGGAGAAAAAATTAGGATTAGTTACTAAAATTCCCCAGTCTAGTTATATATCGTCGTCTAGATCTCGTGGAAATAATAATTACCCAAATGATACAGGAATGACTAAAACCGAAGTTGAAAATCTGATAAAATCTACTATGACATCTACACAATCTCAGCAAACACAAGTTCAACCCAGTTCACAACCCACAATTCAATATCAGCCACACCCCCGGGGACGTACCAAACTATACAGGATTCAAATGTTGGTAGTTTATACAATGGATTACTGGGGAAGTTCCAGAGTTCGTTCCTATTCCCAAGCCTAATCTACCTCCGAAACCGGTAACAAAAAAGAATACTAATGATGTCGATGAAATTACTAACGGTATGGAGAATATTTCATTGAATATTGCGACAATGACTGAGTTTGTTAATGCTGTCCACAAAGTAACCAAGCATAAATGCTCAAAATGTGGTAAAACAAGCCATAATTCCCGCAACTGCCCTAAAAATAAAAAGAAGAGCAAGTCTAGACGTTTTAACAAAAACAGATCTAAGAAAAAAGGTAAGGTTAATCTTGCTACTAAAGATTCAGATTCCGAGTCTGATGCTTGCTCGTCTGATAATGAATCTGATTCTGGCTCTGGCTCTGCTCTGGCTCTGATTCTGACTCTGGTCCCGAAACGGAATCTGATTTTGAGAATGACTTAACTGAGACTGAAATCGCGAAAATTATCAATGCCGTTAAATAAAAAAAAAAGTAAAGCGGAAGAGTAAATCCGATAAATCATTATCTAAAAAGTCTAGTTCAAAGAAGAGAAGAGTCTCGAATCTCCGATTCAACGTTCTTTACAAAAAATACAAAAGAAATCAGGTACGATTATCGATTCATAAATTCGAAAAATTATTTTAGCTATTTTTAACGATCCAGAGGTAATAGAAACAATTAGAAACATTATTAATAGCGGAGCTAGTGCCAAGGCACATAATATCAATTTATCTATAACTCAAAAAATCGCCCCTAAAGGGCCTGCAAAACCTGACTTTACTGCAAAGCAGGGCACTTCGTGCTTAAATTATCGAGAGCCGGCCCCAGAAATACTCGAATCAGATGACGAAGAAGAAACGTTGAACGATCCTATGGAGATAGATTTTGTCCGTCGGAAGAACCCGTAATTAGTATTGCAACTATACCAGTTAAAATCAAACGCTTAAAAATTCCGGCATTGGGACTAGATAGTGGCGCTGAACCTGCAATTGTATCAGAAGATATTGATAAACGTGTAGGCGGGAAAATAGATACGTCGGAAAAATACGATCTAAGTGGTGTTGCTACTGTTCCAACAGAATCTGTTGGTATTACTCGTAATTTACAAATAATATTTTCTCCAGGTTTTACTATACGTGAAGATTTTGTAGTTGTACGAGTTCCCAAACCGACATTAATATTTCCAAATCCACTTCACAAAAAATATAAATGTGCTGTAGATTGGGGTAACGATAAAATGAAGATTCACTATAATGGAGAAGATTTATTATTCCAGTTACTATGCATAAAGTCAAGAATAAGCTCGAAGTAAATTGCGCTACTGTATCTCAGGATGATAAGCCTTTGGTATCCAATCAACTTTTTCAAGAGACAGATAGTGATAAGGATAACAATGTACCATTAGAAGAATGGCATGCTCCTGCAGGCTTTAACTCATTGCAAAGTAATGGAGTTCTGCCTCTAATTTTCTGATGATCTGTTATTTAAAAAAAAACGCATGAGCTATGAGGAGTTAGAAAAAACACTATATGAGGTACTTGAACCCAAGGTTAAATTAATCGAACTCAATAAAAAATTACGAATTCGTAGAGATGAACTTGAAGACTCAAATGGGAAGATTACCAATATCGATATAGTGGAAGCAAAGATAGATTAGTTGGGATTTGCTGAAATCAGTCACTTCATGGCTAAAATCTCTTCTGCTTCTTTACGATCCTGCTCAATCAAAGCATATAGGTTACCCATTTCTCCTACTTTTTTTGACAGGATATTGGGTGTATCACCCCCGCTAATAATGTGTCTTAGCACTAGCTCCACTATTAGGTGAATCAGAAATTCGAACCAATTTAGATCTCGGTTTTCTTTTTTTGACCTGCTTGTTTGGAATATTAATTTGGTTAGAATTCTCAGTTATACTAGTTTCTTCGGTGGATCTGGTATGGTCAATACTTGGTGAGCATGATTCGAGGAGTAATTCTGATATAGGTAAATCTTGACTTGGGGGTGTTATTGGTTCTGATATAGGCCGATACCATTCTATCATACTAACTTCTTGCCCTCTCCAAATTCTTAAAAACGGTTATTCGTCATAGGGTATTTTTTTCTCAATTCCTTCAAAACTTCAGTTTTGGGTTTTGCATCACGATATTGCATAATAAATTTATAATCTTCTGATAATAATGGAACGGCATCAGATCGCATACGTTTAATCATGTTAATATTTTTTATAATATCCGTATTATCAGTAATATCCGTAATATCCGTAATATCAGTAATAATAATATTATTATTTTTTAAAAAATAATTAATACGCATAATACAGTATGTATAGTATTTATAATATGGATAACCAGTACGTATACGTATACTGTATGTGTAATATATAGTATTTATATTATGAATAAACAGTACAAGTAATATGGTAACTAGTACGCATAGTACACATAGTATATATAGTACACATAGTACACATAGTATATATAGTACACATAGTACACATAGTATATATAGTACACATAGTACACATTATATACATAGCACATATCCCATATATACTATCTAATTTTATCTGCATTTTTTACTATATTATCTATTATTTGATATGACCCGTGTAAAAGATCTTGAGAAAGAATTATATAATATTCTCCAACACTCTTCTAAAGTACGTAACTGTAACAGTGAGTTGCAGGATAAAATTATAAAGCAAGAGGAGAGTTTTGATCAAGAAAGAAAGAGTTGGGATCAATATAAAAAGGGGTGGAATCGGGATAGGAAGAAGTGGAGTGAAAAACTAGGAGAGGTTGTTACCGAGAATCAAAACCTACAGATTGATAATGCTAGTAAAGCTATTATCCTTGCTAATTATAAATCTAAGGTTGCTATAAAATCCAATGAAATTACAATACTCCAGTCCATGAAAAAAATATTAGAAGGTAGGTTAACATCAGCTCAAAATGACGCAGTTTCAACCCAAGAATAGATGTTAAATAAAGAATCTGAGATCAGGTCTCTCAGGTCCGAAATGATAAATATAAAGAATGAATTGACTTTAAAAATCAGCGAGTTGGAGCGCCTGAAATCCGAGAGTATATCTCAATCCATGGTTGGTGGGGATAGCGAAAAAAATATATAGAAGTCAAATATATATCTGCTGTTAATGAACCTAGTAAAAATCTCAGTCAGTATCTAGTACGCAAAAAAAATATGACCAGATAGCACATAGTGCCGAGGAAGCTGAGGTTCGAGTCCTTGACTCATCTCTGGTTCCTGAAAAAATCAATACCGGTAGTCCCATACCGATGATGAGATTACTGAACTACCAAAAATTGATGCTGAGATTAGTCCTAAGATAAGTGGGAGAACTAGCATTAGTGATATTAACAAAGATAATATGCTAGATACATCGATAAAACTTAACGTATCAGAGGCTATGCCTCAAAATACAACTCTTTACTTTGCACAACCAGAAAATTATAACCCCTCTTTGATTGAATCACACTCTCAAATTCCAATAGAAGAAATAGAAACGATGAGACCTAGTCTCGAGGCTTTGCCTCTTCCCACTGTGGCAAACACTTTGATGTCACCTCTATCGGCATATATCTTTCTTATCTTGTTAATTATTGCCGTTATGAGGTTTGTGGTATTGAGACGCACGTGGAATATAGGTAGGCTTGAAGAGCCATTGCTCCGCAGGCCTGAAGGGGCGACCCTAAAGGGTCATAAAAAATGGGATCGGCTACAGGATGCGTGGACTAGGTATTAGGAACTATCTATTTAAACTTCGATATTATTTATGTACGAAAAAATATATTATTAATGATGTATAAGAATCTTATTAGGGTGTCGCAATTCTAACCAAGATTACTTAATGATATAGATCGATGATCTCATCAATATCTACTTCCGATGGGTTATCTTTTTTATTGTTCTGCGTAATAAATAGTGTTTGATTGCGTGTGATCTCAAGACCAATTACCCTGTACCATGTATTTCTGAAATTTATTAATGCTTCACACTCTGATTCTAGATTATATCGAAATATATATTCTTCCAAAATCGTAATATCGGTCTTGCATTTCTGTACCTGCATATTTAATTTATACATCGCATTTCTATATTCTACATTGAGCTTAGTACAAATTTAAACAGGGGTGAAGATTTTGCATTACAAAAAAGGCACCAGAGGGAAGAGAGGAAATGGTTTGGTTATGGATGACTTGGAGACACGCTACTACTACCATATTGATACCATAGGTTGGTTACTCTTCAAGGGCTTCATCAGTTCAAGACACAGTACCTGTTCCTTCACTGCTTTCAGTATCTCTATGTTGTGATCACTATCTGTCAGTTCTTGTCTTTTCCTTCAATACCTTATCCAGTATGGGATCTTCTACTGATGTTCTTCTGGGTGATGATAAGTTGAGGGTTTCAGAGGGCTCTAGGACATAGGAGAAGTGAATGGGCACTGGGATAGTTAGGGGCCCATTGTTCAACAATATGTCCTTCTTTATCATTGCAATAACTCTAACCTAGAAAGAAGAATCTTGATACTTCCAGCATGCACCTAGTTGGACTTGATAAATATCATACTGTTTTCCTCAAAGTACTACTATCTGTAGAGATTTAATGATTTATCTAATGTCCTATTGTGGTGTATTCTTTAGTCATCTGAGATCATTTGACTGTATATTGATATTGTTAATTAGGTACAAATGATCTGAAGATCTCCCTGATCTCCCAATATTCATACTAATAAAGAATAGGTATGACACTTTTAAGGCATTGTTCTCATTTGTATTCCTTTGAGCCTAATCTTCTTTCTTCTTTCTTGGTAGAGGGAAGGAGAGTGTATGTTCTTTCTCTTTTGCTTAGCCAAAGATATAGGAGAAGACAGTATTTATTATCCACTTGCACCAAGGTATAATGACTTATGGTGGACCTCAGGTTCTTATGGAGCAAAGAAAATATATTTGAACATGTAAAGTGACCAATAGGTGCTTGTTTACTTCTTTTACTAATGTGAGCTCTGTCTGCTCAATCATGGTGTGAGAAACTTTGTGCTACACAAAATTCAGGGTCAAACTGAAGTAGACAAAATTCTTCACAGAAATCAAGAATGAGTACTATAAGAAGGCAACAAGTAACAAGAAAGTGTGAAAGTTGTCTCTCATTACACAGATACTTCTGTAGTATTTCTCTATGATGTGAGATAGTGGCACATTAGTTCTTCTTCCTTTTAGAGCTTTCTTGCCATTAGTAGGAAAGATACTTCTTGACTTATTAAGGTCACTAGAGGTCAAGTTTTTATTTGAAGACGATAGTAAGCAAGATGGTGAAGGTAGTTAATGGCTCTTGAAGCTTCTTCAAGTTGGTTTAAGAAAAGTGATAAGACTTTATTAGCCAGAAGTATAAAAAACTTCTTGCGAACATTTTTTTTGTATGTAATCAGAGGATCAGTAGAAAGAGTTTGATAAATGACACATCTATTCATATATCAAGGCCAACAACAAAAAAATAGAAGAGCACTTAAGAAATAATATTATTAACAAAGTCAAGCAGTATAGTGTGATAAAGGATATAGAAGTACAAATCTACAACTATCAAAGAAAATACCCCCTTCAATTATACTGAATATCTCAAATATACTATCAAAGGAGTTATACTTAAAAAAACATACAACTTAATAACCAGATGCATATCCAATAAACAACAAAGGAAAAAATGCATAAAAGAAATTAGAAAAAAAAAAACTAGTGAATACTTTTACAACATCTGGATTCAAAGATGTGAAGAATTCCAAAAATGGAAAAAACTATAAAGTATTATATGTAAATTGAAAGAACAACCAGTTACAGCACTCCACAAAAAATATAAAGTTTAGCATACTGAAAAAACACATAAAAGGTCAATATATAGATCTGGTAAATAATTACATAGAACAATAAATAAAAAATACTATACATTCCTCCCATATACTGTATTCACAATTTTATATAGTACTAGCTCAGCCTTGGCTGGTTAGCTCCCACTTGAGTGACAATAGGCCACGAGATGAGTCTTTCTCTTTTGAACTAATTTGGTTAACATGGGTAGTCTTAGCATAAATAATATGTACATCTCTACTTAATCCAAATAAAGTAAGGCTGAGCCAGCATTTAAAAAAATTTTTTTAATTTAATCATAAATATTATTTTAAATTGGAAGGTACTTTATCACAACTTCTAAAAGAATAGATTGGAATTTTTGTAATCAATTCTAAGAATTTATATATATTAGCTATAATTTGAAAATAAAAAGAATCAAGTTTTAATATAATTTTAATTAATAAAGAAGATATATATAAAGAATTGATTAATTTTATAAGAAAAAAGAGAAGAACGTCATTATATTTTTATTTTTTGTTATTATTATATCTTCTAGTTATAATTATCATAAAATCTTTATTTATGGTATATATTATAATAAATAAGATAATTTAATTTGTCTTTATTTTTAAACTTTGCAAAATATGAATACCTGAGCATAATCTTCTTATAATATATCTAGATTTTAACCAATGATGCTTAACTTTTATTCTTATTTCATTCTCATAATATGTTTTATTCTAAATATATTTTTATATATTATTAATCTATAATAAAGTTGTCAAATTTTATGAATTATAAAATTTGATTTTTCTATATTTTGTAGATCTTATATATTTATCTGAAAAAATATGATTTTTCTTTAAAAGGTCACATGTCAATCTCCAAAATGTGACTAAGAAACTATAGGTATTTATATTCAAAGAACATCTTTCCTTATTTGCTCAAAAATGATTGTCAACTTAGATTTACCGTTAATTACTAATTCTACCTCTAGTCATGAAATGTTAATGAAGATCCCTTTCCTGAGTCACATGTCATATACATTAGTGTCGATCCCATAGTTCCAGAGACATGCAATATAAACAGTTCTACAAACATTTTAATTATTCTATTATTAGTATAAATTAGTGATACCAACAGAGTTTCCATAGTTAGTAATGTTCTTAGCAAACATAGCAAACATAGCAAACATACTATTTATAGTGATTATAGATTCTAAATATATAATTGATAGTATATAGTTATAATAGTTTAATGTCAAATATTGTCATATTTAGTAATAGCTAAAACAGTATTTATAGTTATCCAAAAACCTTTAGATGTTAGCATCAAAACATATATACAAATCATCAATAGTATCTTATAAATAAAATATTTATTCTTGTCCTCATACAATTACAAATATCTCCTTATCTCTTTCTTGATCCTTTCTCATTTTCTTGACTTCTCTGTTAATAAAAGTATTGTTGAGAGATCTTTACTTTTATTCTCCTTAGGAACTATAGCATATTCATGTTAGTGAAGGATTCTAACTCTATGTTTCCCTACTTTAGTTCTCAGTCATCTACTTAATTTAGGAGAGAAGAAATTGAGCAGATTGATAATATATAATCAAATTTATTTTTTATTATTAAAAATAATAAGCTGAACTTTAATATAGTTGCAAAAAAAATTGCAAATAATATATATTTAAAAAAATTAAGAGTTTTTAATTTCTTTAATAAAAATATTTTTATTATTTCAAAAATTTCTAATTATATTATTGTCACACTATCAATAATATCCAATAAAGCCCAATTATTGTTAAAAGTGTTTAATAATTTTATTTTTTTTTATACTCTCTATCAGGCTGGGTATATATGCTTTATTAAACATATGTATACTTTACATTAGAGAATGTATCACTAAAGCTAAGTCTCTATCTAACTCACTCATCTTTATTTTAAAGAATTATTAAAACTCTAAATGCAACTTCAGAATTAATTTATTACTCTATTAGTAGTTCAGATAAAGACCTTTTCAACTGTTAACTTTATTGCCTGCAGGTCACTACTGCAGATCACTCTCAATGTTTTGACAGAGCTTAAAACCCAACTATTTTATTTTATAATTTACTCTTCTTGTTAGAATTTCTCAGAGGCCTTCATCTTTAAGGTTTTCTTCTTCAGGTAGTGGATCTTTTTTCTTTAGAAGCATGGTTTTCTGGCTTAAAAGATATGAAGGTCTTCTTGTTTTGTTTTCTCTATCAATTTTTTGTGTTTTTTCTCACTCAATTACCTTTTCGTATCTTTTGTTCAAGACTTTTTTTCAGATTTGATTAAGGCTCTTCTTTGCATTTTTATTATCCACTTTCTTGCTAATCTTCTTATGCATTTGCCTTGATATTTTAGGTCTGCCATTTCTAGGATAATATCTGTTCTTATAAGGCCAATACAGAAATTTAATATATCTTAACTAGTTTTAGAAGCCTATTCTACTACTTTAGAGAATTACTTGTCAAACTCTCCTATTTCTTTTTGGTCATTGATAATTAACCTGTGATTTTTTCTTTAGCATCTCTCATTCTTTTATTTAATAGCTCTTTAAAGTTTTTGATGATTTCATCTACTTCTTTATTTCATATCTCTTTTAGTTGATTCTTATAGACTGAACATTCTAGCAAGTGTTCAGTAGTTTTTATTGTTAGCTAAATGCAATACATCTTACTTGCTTTATAGGTCTAGTCTTTTTATAGTCAAATTACTTAGTGTAGGTAGCTTGTTATTGACCAGTTTAATAAGAAAGCTTCTTTGTTAAGATTGTTTAAAAGATATATTCCATGTATACACATATTTAACTTTTTTTTATACTAGGTCCCATATATAAGCCTAATGTTTTAAAATCTACTGACTCAATTTTTTCTTTATTCTGTTTTGTTGTGTCTATTGATAGATTGTTGTCTTATTATTAATATTTTTAATTAACTGTCTAATTGGATCATCTAAAGTTATTACTTGCTATTTGATTTCAGTAATGATTTTGCGTAAATTGAGATTTTTCTATTCAATTGGCTAAATTTAGAGCTTGTTTAGCTAAGGTATTTGCTTCTTCATTATAAGAATCATTTGAGTGTACTTTGACTTTTGTGAGCTTTAGATTTATATTTTTCTTCTTTATTATCTCTACCATACATGCCAGAGAGATTAATTTTTTCTTTAATCCATTTTTTATATATTCTTCTTAGATCTTTTTTTTCTAAAGATTTTCACTTAGAAATATATATCTGACTGTTTGTAAAGATCTCCACTATGCTTTCAATTGAAACTATCAGAAGTATTGTTATGATTGCTACCAATTCTGCTCTTGTAGATAAGGACTATTTGTTTACTCTTATTTGAAACTTGTTTTCTTTTCCATTTTTTCAGATCTGAATACATGCTGTTCCTATTTTCATTTCTTCTTTATCATGATTAATAAGTGATCCATCAGAATAGAAGATTAGCTTTTTTGTATTCAAGATTATATTGAAGTATATCTGTCAGATGATCTTGATATACACATTCTTTAATATTTTCTTTAATAATGAATTCTTCCCAGGTTTCAATATCCACATGATTTACTTTATTATTTTAGATCTTGAATGAGCTTTGATCTTTGTAAATCACTTCTTTAATTCTTTTTTTAAGTACTAATCTAGGGTTGAGAATTTTTAAATCTCGTATTTTTCTGGTGAATTTTCTCATATTAAGGTATAGTACTGTGTATATCTCTACTATTTTTTTTTCTATGATGCAGTCACCATTAAGTATTGTGCCTTCCAAGCATTTTAGGCATTTTTGTATATTAGTTTCCTGATCACTGTTGGTGGTGCAACTAACAAAGTACTTCACTATCATAATATTTTCCTCTTTTTCTTGTCTTAATTTTTTCCAAGTTACTTGATTTCTTTTGCTTCTCATTACTATCCCAAATTTTTTCTACTTGTCTTAATTAGATTTTATTTTGGAGTATTATGGTTCCCATTTCATATAATTTCTC